TAAAATTTGTGGATTTTCATGTCCATAGACACACTTTCTTACCTTGTCATTCTGCATACCAGCTTCTTAGAAATACAGAAATATTTCAGTTCTATCAGCCCACTGTTCCTTTTCATGCATTCAGTTTCAGTAGTTTAGATAACGTAACTGCAATAAAAACTACACGTATAATTTTGAGGCAGAGTTGACTTGTACAGTACTGAAAAGCAGAGACGTTGACAAGAATTGTACCTTTCTACACAGGGAGATGTAACACACCAGCTGCTAGTGCAAAGGCAACCCAGGGATAAACCGGTAGTGGTGTCAAAAATATTCTGCATCATACTTTTTATTTGAAGCAAATGATGGCCAATGTCTACCTACACAAGACTATGGAGTTAAACACAAAAGTCTGTTTCTATTGTATCTTGTTATATTGCTGAACCCAGGATCCTAGCTTTCTTACCAGATTTTTCATAGCCATACTGTTAATCTAAAATATGATTCAAGTAGATGTCTTGTTCTGCTCTTCCCCTGCCTAATTCTGGCGACGATATCCAACTAAACTGAAATATGCTTTGAAATTTTTTCAAATCAGATTTTTTTAATTTGATTAATAAAATACACACCAAGAATGCCTGAACACAACATCACACAAGGACCTGAAACTTACCATCAATTATTTCTATTACAAATCTAGCCATGATGGATTTGGCCAATTTATTGCATTCCAGGCAGTTGACCCCAAATCCAAGACCTTGTACTACTCTGTTTTTACAGTGCTAGTCAGAATCGATAGCCAATTGTTAGACCTTCTCATTCTTGCTCTGCTGTTCAGCTCAAGCAGTAAGAATAAAGCTTATTCTAAGTAATAAAAATCACACACACAGACATTCATTTTTCAATTCAGGAGAGATCTGCAATGCAAGTTTAAAAAGGAAAACTCTTTTCTGTTGGAATTGTGAGAAGTGAGCAAAAGCTATAATGGAAACCAGCTCTCCCTAGGCGAAGTGGAAGATGAAGGGAAAAAGCTTCAGATGCTACAATTAAGGGACGAACAGCTGGCATTTTAAGGAATGTGGCTTATAAACCAAGAGGCTGGGTAATAAAATAGCAGATAAAGTTCAGCGGACATAGGTAGCAAGTGATGCACAAGGGAAAGACCATCTAACTTAACATTCACAGAAACAGACTCCTGCCACTGTGAGTCAAACTAAATCTTGATGGTAGCAGTTTCATCAAGATATCACCACAGTGCTCAAAAAGCAAATCAAGTGTTAGGTATTATTAGTACAGGACTAAAGAACAAAACCAGAAAATACCATGGCTGAGTCCACAGTGTGCCCAAATCCTGAATGGCAGAAGCAGTTCTGGTCCTCAAACCTCAAAGAGGATCTTAAGACCCAGACGAGGCACAGGAGGACATTGAGGAATGTGTCTACACCAGTACTTTGGCTCAGCTCAGAAGCGCAGTTTTGAAACCCATCTCCTGATCATTGCTGCTTTGCACACTGTGGTTCTTGTCTCAGAGTCTTCTTGACACACGAGACAGATTCCCTTTAAGCAAACCTAAACAGGGAGACAGCCACCACCACACCACATGCCAACTAGCACCCAGTCCACTGGACCAGGCTACAGCTGGCTGATACAAACTTCTGTGAAATGCAGGTAAGTGCAGGCATTGAGTCCTAACTCACACCACAAATCCCACCTTAATCCACCCTGCTGTTTGAAGATGAGGGCATAGCCAAAGCTGAGAGGAGGTGCTGAATCTCTCTTTTACAGGAAGCACCTAAGAGAACTAGGGCACTTCATTCTGGGGAAGAGAAGACAGAAGTCTCCTACATGACATGGCTATGAAACGACATAAGTGGTATAGAAAAACATGAGCAAGGAGTAACTAACTGCTCAGGGGCTTTTCCAAAAATGAGAAGGAAGAAACATCCAACAGAGCAGGCAGAATGTTGTTCTGCTTCAAAATCAAAAGGAGATGCTTCTTCACAGATCACCTATTTAAGCAGGAGAACTCCTTGCTAAAGATGATTACAGATGCTGTAATTTTATAAGGGTTAAAAAAAAACACAAAATCAAACAACTAAACAAGATTCACTGGGGAAAAGTCCATCAAGAGCCATTAAACACAGTGAGCAATGTTAGCTCTGGAAGTACCTGAGCTGCAGAATGCTAGCACTTGGGGGATACTTTGGGCAAGTAAAACTACATACCTCCCTGGTTACTTGTCCTCTGTCTCGTAGGCATCTGCTACTGACCACTGTCAAGACAGGATGCTGGCCTTGATACACTACATTTAGTGTGACCAAGTTGGGCTACTCTTGAAAATGGTAGGATAGGTGTGCCAGATGGAAAAGGAAATAAAATGCACACTAATCTAAGAAAAGGGGATACAAAGTTTTTTTAACAAGCTACTGAATAAGGAAATCTTGCCCTTCTTTTAGAGGCACAACCACAGGCTTCTTCACCACACCACCAGATGAAGCAGGGGTCAAGAGAACCTACAATTCAGTTTATTACTGAAAACTGTTACTCAGATAGAAACTTCTGCCACTCATTGTAACACAGACCGCAACACTTGCAGGCCCTTGGGGACAGGCTCAGAGAAACAGTTAAAATGTGGGTCCAAAACACTAAACTCTAAGCTATCAGCTTTCTGGGAAACAGCCTTTTATTGCCAGAGACTGGAAAGAAAACCCAAAATATAGAGGAAGTCACTAAAACAGAAGGGGTTTAAAACCAAAAGGGAATCTGCCTCAAGACATTCTCCTGCTTCAACCTTTCCAGTGTATTCCTCACCCAATCTTGTGTCTGAATTTTTACACTTGGCCAATAAATACCTCTTTTCTAGCACTCAGATGAGATTTATGATGTACTGCAAGTGCTGTGCAATTAACAGATCTAATGCCCAATTCATTTCCTTCTTCAAAGGGAGACTGGAGAAAAGCACAACAGGAGATGGCTGGGTACTGTAGCCGTGGGTATTTCATGCATATACATGATCTGACATCTCCTTTACCACTACTCTAAGTCAGCACATCCCTACTCTTCCTGTAGATGCATCAAACCTTCTTCACTGTTTAGATTCCCAGCTATTATACATTCTTCAGTTTAATCATCAAGAGGCTTTTTTTTCATATCCTCACAGTGGATATTTACACACCATCTCACATTTTCACTGTGATTTATCAATTGCTTTTTCCAGTCCATTTCACTGAATTTCTAATCTCATTTCCCCAACTACACTGTCTACAATCATAACATAGCAGTGACTTTAAAAAATTCAGTATGCTTCACAAATTTCACAATGTGTTAAAAGAGATAGCATAGGGAATACATTCCTTGCATCTAAGCATGATCACCTTAACGTGCATATCGGTGACCACAGTACACAGCCGAGGTGGAAAACGGGCATTTCTACGAAAGAAAGTCTGAGCTCTGCAGTTTTTCACAGGCATTGACCAACTTCCAATGGGAGAAATGCAACCAACTCTCTTATACAAGACTGAACATTTACCTCTTCCACATTTTCGATCAGCATTTGGGGGATGTTTTATTCCGAATCATGCCAACATGGCTTCATCCAATCCAGCAGCACATTTGTTTGAAGGATTATTACAGATGCATCATATACTAATAAAACACGCTGCTCTGAAAGGAATTTTAAATGGCACAACTTAGCGGCTTGCTTCCCAGCCGCAGCCTTAGGTTCTATATAATGTAAATGCTGAGCGTAAGCTACTTTCACAAGCAATTAAGACAGACTACATGAAGTACCTAGCTCAGCCCGCAGGCTATGTAAGACTTGGTTTTCAGTTGTGTTCAATTACTTTGTCCTTGTCTTTGGTAAACAGAAATCCTTGTTTTACTTTCTCTCTACCACACGCTGCACCTGTTCTCCAAATTATACCACCCTAATCTACACATGGCAGCCTCTGGAGCAGTTCTACTCTGTGCTGAAGTAGTTTTTGCCAAAACATTTTGAAGGTAAGGTACATAATACAGCAATGTTCCTAAATAAATTCTACTGCCTAAAAAGAAGGTATCTCTGAACTAAGTTTTACCTCAAACATGCTCAAAAGCATAGGTAAGACTTTGCCTCATCCCATTAAGATTTCTTCAGCCACTTCTACTCATCGCAGTGCTACAAGCCACATAGTTGGCTTAAGTTGTTGCCATTTCTGTGACTTTTCACCTGAAATTTTAACAGGATTTAAGTTTAAAGACTAGACATAATCTAAATCTTATGATCTCTCATCTCTCAACACAGCAAGAGCGATTCAGATTAAAACCCACTGGGATGCGAACAAGGAGGCAACAGAGGGGAATGAATATAATACCACGATGCCCTCAAACACAGAAACTCATCCACATGACATGACACTTACTCCAACCATTGAAACATTCTTAAGCTTCAAATACTGTGTGCACATCACATGCCTAAACGCTGGAAGAAAACTGCTCAGACTCCAATAATTCCACCAAACTGTTCCCAGGATTTCTTAGTAAATATTTAGCTTCATGCATCACCTCTATTCAAACCAAGGAACAACAGTAATTAACTTGATTCTGAGAATCTATGCCTTTAGCTAAAAAGATGACACAGTCAAACTTTCCAGGCTTAAACAGAAGTGAAGTAGTACTACTTTTTACATAAGCCAAGTTACCTTATGTAAACCAAGAGGAAAATCAGACTAATTCCACTGAATTTCTGTACAAACCAGTATTAACAGTCATAAAATAAAAACAGTGCCAAAGCATTAACACTCAATGATGATAACAGTTGCTCGGAATACTAGAGATCAATTTTAAGATAAGTAACATCGATAATTTAAGTACGTTTGATCCTGCATCCTGACAAACCTTTCATGACTACTGGCTACTGCTCAATTTCTGCTTGGAAACAGAACAAACCAGCTTGCAGATACACAGATTTGATTCCCCATTTTAGGTAATCACATGGAGTTACAAACCACACAAACTAAGCAAACAGAACAGAAGATACTCACATTCCCCATGTATTCTGAAAGCAGATCCTGCAAGGCCTGTCGCACTGCATTACACTCGGCCACTATACGTTCCCGGCGGTCATCACGTGTGCAGGATGAATCAGCCATCAGGGCTGCTCCGCTAATGATGCTCTCCAGGCGCTCTTCCAGGGAAGGCCTAAAACGTTCTTCACTGAAGGTTGATGGATCCACAATAATTTGTTTCTAGTAAAAGAAAGGTTTTAGAAATTAGGAATCAGACCAAGCAGTAAGTTACTGTTAAATCATGGAGGCAATCAACATTTACATCAAGCCCCTGATCAGGCATAAAAGGCAAACAGCACACAATTTTGGCACCGAGGATTATTTTCATGAGTACTTTCGTAAAGTTACTAAAAGGTTCCCCAGCAGATTACAGCACTAGTCATTTCTTGTGTCACTTTTGACAGCTAAACAAAACTTGGACACAGGAAGCCTCATTATATGAATGGCAAAAGTCAAATGTGCCAGCACAAATAAGGTTCAGAGCATAGAACTCCTCTTAACTACATGTCAATCTGGACAAGCCTTCACTAGTTAACTTGTCAGATATAATTATCCCATCATGAACAAAAAAACAAAGAAAACAAACATCCAAAGTTAGCCCTGTACATAGTGCTCTGTAGTGCTAGTTTACCCAGTCTTTCTTCTCTTCACTGTTATGCAGATAAATATAACTATCCTCAGAAATTCTCAAAGTAAAATATCAACACCAATGTTTCAAACAGCACAGAAATCAATTTCTTCATAGCAGAAAACTATCAGATGTTTATCTTGACACAGTATTAGTAAGCACAGCTCATACTGTGAGACTTAAGGCTGAAACAGCAGTATTGATGTATCCGTTTTTCAGGGGGCCAATGCCACCACCCACAGAAGTTCACCAGGAAGCAGCAGTGTAGTGTTTATCACCTTGTGAGTACTTTCAGGTGGTTTATTTAAATAAGTTTGCAATTTATCAAGGAAAAATAATTTGACCCTTTCAAAGTTTGGTGGTTTGTTTAGGGTTTGGATGGGTTTTTTTCCCACTGCAGGGGCAGGAGGGCAAGACATTGCTGACTGTTTATAAAAGAAGCCCCAGAGTTTTTTGAAATGGGATTTTTCCCAATCAGTCTGTATGCCAGCTAACTTCAACAGCAGTTGTGACTTCAACGTCACAGCCACTACTTTTCCTGGCAGTCAGCGCATTTCGTCTACAGAGCAACCACGCAGCCTTCGCAGCAAGATCAGGACACAGCACATATTCTCCAACATGGTCCTCATTTTTCCTGCAACCTGTAGCCAGGTGGGTTATACAATGGTAACATGCTACAACTTCAGAACTGCACCATCAAAACCACAGATAATCATTATCTTGTTATCTTCTGGTACTGATTTAATATTTTACCATCACAGTAAAAACACTGGAGTATTTGGGGGCGTGTGTGCACAAAGCTTCTATTACAAGAGCGTAATAACACTCAAACGTTAGCAGGAAATGAAGAGCAGGGATAACATCTACCAAGAACCTGAACACATTCATTTTGTCAGTCTCCTCTGGCAAGAATGAGACAACAAAGCTATCGCACACGACGTGCATGGAAGCTGGTCTGCTGAACAAGCCCTGCTGCTGCTAGAGAGCCTCACAGAGCGGAACTAAAAGCTCCAAAGCTCCACGTGAACTCCAACACTCGAAAAAGTCTCTGGCCATACATTAGAGCATTCATATAGTAAATAAGGTGTTCATTAGAGCGTTCATATAGTAAATACCAGAAATCACACTAAATGGTTTGAGCTAGATTAGCCAATCCACGAACCTGAACTGAATTGTTTCTTTAATACTCTGTACCCAAGTCAGTCCTTAACACTGTGTGCTCTTACAAGACCTGCCATCCCGTTCCACAGATACCTGCTCAAACCTGCCATTCCTTGGGTGACAACCTGAGGCACAGTCTTAAGACTTATGTAGCTGAACAGACAACCAATGGAATTTAAGAAACACAGACGTAAAACTGAAACCATAGTCACAAAGATCAAGACAAACATGACATCCTCTTGTTAACCAAGAGGAGAGAAAACAGAAAGGCTTCACACCAGGCACAGGGAGAACTCAAATAGTACTTTATCCTGATAAAAGAATCATGACAGAGAAAGTAACATAGGGCAGGAACAAGAGACGTAAGAGCAAAAAGGAGAAGGTGAGCAATATCAGGCAAAACCAAAAGTATTAAACACCTTTTGAATGATGGCTCTGTAATACTAAATAAAGTTTTAGAGGTTAGTGCCAAGGTGTTTAAAATTCAGAGGCTAAATCAGGGGGTAGACACAGAATACTGCCTTCAAAAGGAAAGTGCTCTCAGTAAAAATGCATGGCTATCCTCAGTAACTTGCTGAATTCAAGGTAGAGAATATGACAAGTCTGTGCAACACATCAGTGCAAAATGACTTCATTCTCAACCAAAGATCATATTAAACTTCCCACTTCATGTTCCTCTCAGTAGGGAGTTTGGGCAATTCCAAATACATTACTCACTTTTAATAAGTCATTTCTGTCACCTACAAGAATACTTTACATAAATATATTATGAAATAATCAATTTCAAATAAACCAAGGGCTTACATCTAACAGCAGTAGGCCAACTGCTATTTCAGAGCTAGTTAAACTTGACAGCCTTCAATCACCAAGAACCACGTATAAAACTTTCTATATTCCATCAGTCCTAGTTCGGAAAAACACCTTTTAAAAAAATAAAAGCCTACTTTACCTGGGACTTGCTGTATTTCAGTAGGAAAATGACCTTTCAGGCAAAATAAATAAAAGCAAGCCATCGCTAGTAAATCAGGTGAGTGAACACAAGAGTTGGAGTTAACACTTTTTTTTACCTGAAGCGTTCAAAACTTACATCAAAGTTGTTCAGAGCATAAGCCAGCTCTCCACCTCCACCCTGCTGCTGGGCAGCATCATCTGATGCAGTAGCTTGAGCTGCATTTGAGATGCCTGTGACCGCCTGCTGAAGCTGTTTGTAGATCAAGTCCCTGTTAGCTTTGTAAGCAGCTACATCAGGGTGCTGCAGACAGGCCTGGGACGCTGTGTAAAGAATGGGAACGTTCTTCTGCAGGATTCCTCTGGCTGCCGCCATCTGATCACGGTGACCCACATCTTTCAATTCCTATTATGAAAATTAAAAACAGCAAATAGATAAGTGATGAACATTTGAGAACACTCCCCACGTTTAACATGCATACACTGTCTCCCTGGATCTTCAAAAGACAGGCAGGTTCTTTGCCTAGTATGCTCAAGTCTAACGATCTTCTCACTGAGCATCCCTATCCTTAAGGGCTCAACTAATTTCCAAACACAACAGCTACAAAAAGACAAAAAGAAGTAGTACTGTATGGCAATTCACAACTCCACAGTTCAGAATCTGAGGTTGGATTTTTTCTCCTCTCCACAGTAGAGAACCAGCATTTTGAAAGCTGGAATCACCTGTAAATCACAGGAGGACACCAGAAGTTTAAAACACACATATTTCTTAGCATTCCTTCGCATTTGCATTACATCTAAAAAATAAAAAAAAAAAAATCACAAAGAAACCTCAATCCTCAAAACAGAATACCTTGCACTTTCAGGTAACTGAAGAACCAGGCTAATTTTTAACTATCAATCTAACACAAGGCTTCCACTGCAATCTTGTCTTGCACTTGCACAGGAGAAGCAAGGTCTCCTTTAATTTAAACTCCAAGACTCGCAACAAGATTGTTTTATTTAATCACACCTAGAAGATGGGAGTTTACTCTCAAGAGACGCAGATATTTAATTTTAGAAGAACAAGTATATCACCTCATTCAACTTCTCGTTCATCTCCAATGACTGTAATTACTGCTAATTTAACATTAGTGAGCAAGTCCATACGTCTTTTCTCAAACACTCACTACTGCAATTCTCTAAAGCATCATCACCTCCATAGAAGCACTATGATTAGATAAAGCTTCTGAGTCCAGCGCAAACAGTAAGTTTATGAATGGAAGAACGAACACAGTTATTAGCAGTATCATAATTTTAAAGTTACCTCTTAAATCTAACAAAGGTGATGAAAATGAAAAAGAGGACTGACTTGCTGAGAACAGGAAAAAAAAAATCTGACAGACTCTGCAAAATGTATGGGTAATACACGACCTCTGCAAGATACACACTAAGCAGGGAGGGCACTCCAAGCAGGCTTACAGATTTACAGATTTAGTACAACCACTTCCTATAGTGCGGAACAATCCATCACAAAGCAGTTTAAGAACATTTATTGCATTGCCATCACAACCCTACTCCCATTTACTGCAATCAGATTTTAGATACATAACCAATTGGCAATCTGTTTTAGACTGTTCCCAGTTTATTTTCAAAGATGAATCTGTGCAGAAAAACCCAAGCTGTGTCAGAGATGCATAAGCAGTTTTGGTTTGTACATACCAGCAGAAAAACAAACAAAAAATGCTCTACAAGAATTATGCTATTTATGACAAATGGAGCTGCCCACACCTCTGCTTTCTTCTGAAAACTTACCTACACAAGAATGAATCATAACAGTGCTGTTGAACAAAACAAATTTTACATGCAATTTAAGGTTAAGCACAAGCTATCCAAACACAGAACACACGCATAAACGGGCTTTCAAACACCTTCTCAAATGGGCATTTCAGTGCAAGACTAACCAGCACCACCACTCGCTTACTTGGGAAGAGTTGCAATTCTGTGCCCAGCCATGACTATTGCTCCCTGTTTAAAAGGACACGCTCAGTCCATCTGTACAGACCATAAGGCAGTGCAGTCTAATGGCAAGTGCAGCAGGCACTGAGTCACATCACAATTCTTTCCTTACCCATACCTGCACTGCTCAAAAATGGAAACTGCAAGTCTTGGGAAGCAGCACTTCATTAAGGTACCAAAGCATTAACATGAACAACTACTACTAGAACAAATTCCACCAGTAGCAGCACACTGCTGCTCAGCAAACCTCCTGCTTACCAGGCAAGCTCAAATTTTTTTAAACATGTCAGAGTGCAACACAAAGTATTCAGCAATAAGTAGGGAAAAAAAAAAAGTTTTACAAAAATTATTAGCAGCAATGGGTACTGTCCAGGAGCAGCAAGGCTGCCTTATTTTCTTTCTTCGAAAAAGACAAAATATACAGAAGAGCAAGTTTTTATCAGTATACCTGTTGTCTTTTGGCTGCCATTATGTTAAGCTTGTCCACTTCTGGTTTGAGGGCTTTGTACTGGATACCCAAATCCTGCTCCGTGCCAGCATTCCTTAATTTCAAGATACCTTCTTCCACCTAAAAGAATACACATTCACATATTTTCCCAAGTAACCCAGTCCACAGTTCAGAAAGTAATTCAGAACATACTTCATAGCAGACAGAGAAAGCAATCTTCCACTGCCCCCTTTTATTTGTTTTGAGAGAGATACTTCAAAGGCTAATAGTACTCAAGACTCAGCTACTACTTCATAGTCACCAGCTACCAGAGAGAGCCAAGTACACACATTTGAAAAAGGATGAAGGAGCTCAGGGCCCTGGCAGGGCTGTGTTAGTGGCCAAAGGGCATGACGAGTGTCCTCAAAGCCCTGCCACAAAAGTGGGCCCAGTATCGAATCGCATTTAATTTCTAATTCTGTACAAACTACCCACCCACCTTCCTGCTCGTGGGAAGAAAAGGCTTCTTCAGATACTTCACTTTATTTAGGCTACCAAAACTACTCATCCCTAGTATCTACAAGGGAGTACTGGTTATAAGAAAGCCAAATTATTTCTATAAAATATCACCTGCAGTTGCAGATCATAGCACATTTAGTTTCAATACTAAAAGTTCAGAATAAAGTGCAACACAATGTCAAAAGCTATTGACAACGAGTGTAAAAACAAGTGACAAAGATCTGCTGCACACGTTCTGCTCAGAAGAAAAGCCCTGCAAAGCTCCCTGGTCCAGAAGCAAGCCGCTGGCAGCACACACACCAGGGTCAGTACACACACAAAACAAAGCCACTTGACTAAGCACGCATGGCATACCAGGCAGGCAAAGTGAATCACAGCAAAGAACTATACTTACTACTTTAAGTTGAACAAGCAGCTTGTAGACATCTGCCATGTCAGCCAAAATCAGCAGCCGAGTAACAGCAGAGAGAAGGGCGCGTGCCGCTCGGACCATGTTCCCTCGTTTCACAGAGGAGCAGGGGTCATCCGCAAACTCCCCCGAAGCACTTTTCATCAAGTCACCTGCACAGAGGGAGAAGATGGTCTGACTTCAACATCACACAGCATTTCTTAAGGGGCTGTAAGGATTCCTGGGCAAGCCAATCTGCCTTGAAAACAAATTGTGCTTGCTTACATACAGTCAGCAATTAAGATTACATGTAGCTACCTCCAAGTACAGTTACCACGTGGCATCAGGGTAGAGGGGCTAGTGCAGGCAGGAAGGGCTGGGAAATAACACTCTGGTCTTTATTTCCAATTGCACAGGTGTTTCAACATGCCAGAATCCTCTGGAGAGGCAAATTTAGTGTGCCTTCGTTATTACGTGCAGTACCACAGTTATTTCAAACTGTAATGCTTTCAAAGCTTAAGCAAAAGCTTTGATTTGTGTGTGTGTAGGAGTTAAGCAGAAAGCAGCAGAAAGTACTGTAAGCATGCAAGAAAACACCACGGCTCATGGGACTGTAAACAACTCGGAGCAATGACCTGGCTGGCTATGCCCTGGTCTGCATTCAAAGCAAGGCACCGCTTCGTAAAACGCTTCAATGTTTTATAGCCTGTGGGTCTGCATCTGGTGCAGCAGGAGAGAATTTGGGTTTCAGATGGTAACAATGCCATTGGTTAACTTTGAAAAGCAAAGGCCACTTTACACAACTAGAGAAATTCCTCCAGAAGGCATTCAGAAAGCATGAAAGTAATGCCTGCATAAAGTCATGGGAGTCAATTTTTGATTTCTTCCCCCACTTTCTGGGGCAGCATTTTGCTTCCAGCACCAGAGCTCCTCCACAACAGCAAGTTTTGGAATCCACATTATTATTCTTGGATCTCTTTGTGTTTCAGAAACATTTCTGGTGAACAGCTAGGATTTAGTTTAGAAAACACTAGGTACTCAAGGCCAAAGATTTGTGGGCAGCTGGAGATGACCACAAAGCAGGCGAACCGTGTTATAACTTACTGCCGTGTCAGAGGCTGCTCAAACCTGTATGAAAGAGGGTCCCTATGGGCAAGTGCCAAAACAAAAAGAGCACATCTCAGATAAAAAAGAACCTCAAGTAGTGCTTCACAAGTAGAAGTCGACAGTAACTCCCAGCAAGGCCACGCTAACAAATGGGGCTGCATGAGATTCGCACCAAAAGCTGAAGATGATGCAGTGGCATCATCCTGCCAAGAGCTCGCCTGCTCCCACAGCAAGGCAATCAGTGCAGCGTATCTCTACTATGGCAGGTCTTTCCATTTTATTTTAACAACTTCTTTTTTTAAAGCTACTGATTTAACTACTCAAGAATACTTACAACTGGAGAGCCTGGGGTTAACCATACTTACCATTAAGTAATTAATATCTTGCCCTGGAAGAGTTTCTAGCATCCAAGCACTCTACACCTTCATAGCTAAATACAGCCCAAACACAGCTGCCAGCCTGTCCAAGCAACTACATCAAGACACTCAATTCGGTACAAATGCTCCCTCCTATGTAACACCCTTCCATCATCTTAAATAATATGACAAAGAGTGGCATACAACATTTTAAGATTAAAAATAGGCTACTTCGGTACGGTGACATATGAAAAAAAGCTTCTGTCCAAGTACAGACCAGCTATAAATATCAATCTAAAGCTATCCCTTAACCCAAGTTTTTGAGGAACACACTTCATTATTTTAACAAGTGTTAAGAGCTCAGTTTTCCAGATGGGTGAAAGACGATGTATCTCCAATGCTGAAAGACTGCAACCATGAGATCATAAAACCCCTACGTAGCTGACATGACCCTTTCCTTATTCCTTCTGAAAGAGGCTAATGATAGTGAAATTAATGTCACCACCAGAAGTATGAAATGTATTAACAATCTCAGGATTTAAGAATAGAAGTCACAACCAATATTCACTACAAGTATTTCCTCCCTTATTTACTTATATGTAAGTTTTCAACTTTCAACATGTTCAACTCCCAAAAGAGACGAACGGTGTTTTTATTTATTTCCTATTCAAAACAACTTAGAGAGGTGGCCACTCACTTCATCTGAATGTCAGAATTGCTAGCCAAAGCAATTTAAAAGCCAAAACTATCCTCGACCCATCTCTTAAATCGCGACCACACAAGCCAGTCCTGAAATAAAACACTATTCCTTTTTATTTTTACAAGGGACTTTACAAGATTTAGTGAGTTTCAAACAGCTTGTCAGGGTGTCAAAAGATAACCAGCTTCCTAGAATTAAAGAAAGATTATATTTAAAATTGTTGCATGCATATATATGCATATATATATATATTTCTGCAAGTTAAAGAAAGCTGCCTTTCAGATGGCTTTTTTAAAAAAAGCAACACAGGGTAGTTATTTTAGCGAGATTCAAAGGGTAAGAGGGAACTCTGCCCTGGCCTAAGCACACAGTTCCTTCATTACACGTGCACATCAGTAGTTCTAATCGGATTCATCATAAACTTCTTATTTTCAAATTTGAACCAGAGGTAACAGAGCAAGTGTGAGAGTAGGATTTCAAGAGTTAAGAGAAATACACTGCAGAAGAATCAGACTACGAGACTCAGATTATACAGCTGGTACAAACTCACACATGAATAATCTGTTTTTCCAATATAACCTTAGATTTTCACTAGATATTACAAGGGAAAGATAATAAAATGGAGTTGAGAAAAGAAGAGGCAACAGTAGCCATACTATGATCTCGTCAACAAAGCACTAAGAATTCAATTAATTCTCATGGAACAAAGCCCATTTCAGAAATAGTAAGATTTCAGTCCCTCAAAGGAAACTTACCATTTTCTAGTCTCGTTCCCACCGTGCCCACAGGGTCTGACAGCACTTTCAGACAGCACTATTAATCCTCAGCAGCACGGTACACGATGACTGTGACAGACAGGGCTTTCTTTATACAAACACTGCCAGAATGGGAAAGCAGCAGAGATGATGGGCAAGGCAAGGCAGGAAAGACCTAAGACGCATACAGGCACTGATGACTTCTTTCCAAGCTACACATTCACATCTGTACATCACCTTGCACCCTTCAGTACTTTCCAGTTCAAAACCCATCTCCAGGCTGCTTTGCTGTCAGGATTAGAAATACAGAGTGCCATCGGGCCATACCTCCACCTGCTCATGACACCCTGTCACAGTTCCCTAGGTTACCTATCCCCACCAAATGAAGGCAAGCATGAAATCAGAGTTCCAAGACTATTATTCTGGATACTGAAGTTCTGTCTTACCACTAACAGCACCCTCAATGTCCGCCATGAGTGTCACAAAAGGCTGTCCTTGCTTTTTACTGTAAAGGACAAGGCCCTGTATTTCCTCTTGCTACATCAACACGGGGGTTTATAATTATGAAAACAAAATCTTATGTTAATTCCTTAATCTTGTCTTCAATTAAATCCATATACTCCTCCTACAGTTTGCTAAGACCTATCTCAGAGCTCTCTTAGGTTACAGCTTTTCAAAGGTTTCAAGTCCTTGGCTGGAGGATTACTTCACGTACAAGTGGTATAATCCTGAAGCACTTCTACTGCAGGAAAACAAGCAAGAACTCTTTGCGCTCTTCCAAGAAACTAAGCTAGCTGGTCACAACAGAATTTTAAAGTTCAGTTTTCCAAAAAGAATTCAGTGGTTAATTTCAAGTTACTCCAGATTTGAGCCTCTTCTGTTCCTTGGCAATCCTTAAGCTGGACATCCTGTGTGAAGTACAGCTGAAAAAACCTCAAACACATTTCATCCTTTCATAATCTGCCTCACTGTTCAGTTCTGGAGAAAGCAGAGGGTTCCGCAGTCTCTCTACACCAGGCTGACCATAGCAGTCAGGTGGACGTAGAGGATCAGGACCAAAAAGAATGTTAACATGGTTCTTCCTGGTGCAAGAGGCATGACAGGCCTGCCCCCCTCAGTAACTGCTCCACCTTCCCAGGTGCCCTTGCAAAACAGGTATTAAGTTCTGCAAGGGGAACTGAACACAGAGCAAGAAGGCAACTCGGAGGTTCCTGGAGTGTGTGGAAGATCACTTCCTGACACAGCTGGTGAAGGAGGCGACAAGGGAAGGTGCCCTGCTGGACCTGCTGTTTGCAAACAGAGAAGGTCCTGTGGGGATGTGATGGTTGGAGGCTGTCTTAGGCATAGTGAACATGAAATGATAGAGTTTTCAATCCTTGGAGAAGCAAGGAGGGGGGCTAGCAGAACTGCCCCTTTGGCCTGTTTAGGGACTTGGTTGGCAGAATCCCCTGGGAGGCAGTGCTGAAGGGCAAAGGAGTCCAGGAAGGCTGGACACTCTTCAAGAAGGAACTCTTAAAGGCACAGGAACAAGATGTCCCCATGTGTCGGAAAATGATCCGGGGGGGAAGAAGATCAGCC